TCTCAGCGATGAAAGCCATGACATAATGGCATCGATTCCTGTCCTCATGTGTTGGCATTCGGTCTCCGATTTGTGTCTCAATCTCTTGTCTCAACTTTCGCTGCACTTCCGGGTAATAGCACATCAATAGCACAATCCATTGAAAGGTGTTTTGCGAGGTGTTTATCCCTCCCAGAAACAGGGTCATCGCAGACATCGCCAGGTTATCATCGGTGAGATAAGGGGCCCACTCTTTACCCTCTCTGAGGGCCTCATTCTTAGCGGTTATGAGTGCATCGCAAATGTCTCTCTCAATAGCATCCGAGTAGTCCATGTAATGATCTTTGAATGTATTTCTAATCATTAAACTCATCTCGGTCAAAATTTGTTGTTGTTTTTGCACTGATCTTCTGTCCAATAGTCGTATAAATGACGAGAAATTCCATAACATAAACCTGGCGCCTACCTCATGACCTACGTCCATTAACACGTATTTAAATCGTTTGAATTCCGGGTCATCCATTGTGTAGCTATTATATGACAGTTATTTTTAAAAGATACTGTATATCCTACATGCATATCTCTGATAATTTATCAGTGACTTTTTAACCTACCGGTAAATTGGAGTGACCTAGATTCAAATGATTTATGTTCATAAATCTAAAGTCTAAAACGATCATATTTATAAAATTATTCCTTGTTAAAAGTTTACATAGCTTTTGATTTACAGTAAAATGTCAATTAAATAAAGGATATAAAAGTAATTAAAATAATGATGTTTATAACTAAACATATTTTGTAAAGCTATATAAGCTAGCACCCAAATTGTATTATCTATCATTCAGTACCTATTATTATTGTAACAATCTGACGGTTATATTCATAGTATTTGNAATTGTATTATCTATCATTCAGTACCTATTATTATTGTAACAATCTGACGGTTATATTCATAGTATTTGTGACAAAATAAAAGTTATATTTAAAGCCCACGTATATTAATCATTCATTTTAAGGCACCGGCCTTAAGGGCGGGTACATAACCTCCCGTTCACTTCAATATTATACTCAAAACCAACATGGAGTTTTTATAAGTTAAATATTTGCTGTACTGGTTTATTATGAGAATAAAAATTATTTGAGTTAGTAAAGTGTATGATAACCTTTTGCCTAAAATGCTGGCGGATATTATGTTGAAAAACATGTAAAAGATATAGTCCTTCACAATAAATGGTTTGTCCAGTCCTTCCCTATGGATCATAGATTTGACGGTTTGGTCGACACAAACAACGGATAAATATACGAGTTTATCGAGTGTTGAATATTTCCTATTAAGGGTCAAAATTATATCAAGATAATCAAATTTACAATTTGACCTAAATTAGAAACTATGGATTATGGCATTATAAATAAATCACATCTATACTAATAATATTATACGATATATTTGTAAAATTAGCATTGAAGATAATTTTTTCATCAAATGAATTATCAAATTATTTCAAAAATTTATATATATATAAAAGTCTCGCCAAAACTCTTTAGACTAGATTATTTAAATTAAATATATGTTAGGATTGATCTAGAACAAAATAAAATTTTTTGCAACTATTGTTTTTAAGGACCATTACAACCATATGACCTTTTCCATCCAGATGTGAAGGGAACGGTATGGGGAATGGGATGTTGAGATCACAAAAAATATAAGAGATATTAAAGTTCTGATTTTTGGAAATGATGCGCGAGGCTATTTCTAGAAAAATAATTT